GCTGACAATAGCAGGTACAAAAATAAAGCTGCTTTCATAGCGTGTAAAGCTTCGCTATAAGAGGAAACTAGAACATGAATTGCAAGGTGAAATACACTTATGTTCATGTTTTCTTGTTTACTCGTTCATCATTAAGCATCAATGCAAGTCACTAGAGAGCCAAAAAGAAACAATCTCTGGCAAAATTAAACATGAATAAACCAGCAATGACTAATTCTGATATAGTGCTATATCCAACTTAGTCTATTTTGAGCAATTTTAAGAGACAAAGGTTTCCAGAAAAGTCTGAGAGGAGAAAATGGTCAAGCTTTCTGGCATATAAAACCTCCCAGTTTGCATTGTACTTCCTTGCATTTCTCTGAAAGAAATATTTTCATTCTCTTTCCAAGACACTTGCTGTTACAACACATATCTGGTGACCATATGCTCATAAAACTTAATAGATTACCTATTAAAAATTGGGCAAAACCAAATAAACAAATTCAACATAAAGAAATTCTTACAGCACTGTAGAGAGTTATACTATTCTTTTACTTACAGCAATGGACATTGATAACCATTTAATGGTTTGAATTATCACCTGCCAACATGCCCTGAATGGTAATCCCATGTTATGGAAAGACTGACTGCTGCCAGCTGAGATTCTTTGTTATTAAAACAGTACTGATTCACAGGAATATGTGAGCTCTAGGGAATGATGAAAGCATGAAGAATGATGAACCCTTTACAAATAAGGCCAAGGAATTAATTTAACATACTCCTAATGCCCTTACAGTGCAATATTTTTAGGGAAGTTTATATACTGCACCTTTAATTTCAGTAACTGATTTTCAATTTGTGCTGTTTCCAGTTGCTTTTGCTTCTCTCTCAGCTTTTCCATAGACTGCTCATGCGTATGTTTTAAATTCCTTATTTGTTCCCTTATGTCAGTGTTCTCCAATGTAACATCCACTAGAGTTTTCTAGAAGAAAGAGGCAAACCATATATTAAAAATCACAAATAATTTGGTGAACTAATATAGTCGAGAAATTATGTAACAGAGAGAACATTTAAGAGTTTTCTGGTGTGTCAATGCAGCGTGAACAGCTCTGCAATTTTAATATTTAAAATTATGGCTTTTGTTGTATTTAGTCTGCTAGAAGGTATTTCCATGAGGAACATGCTAAGTGAAATCAAGTCCTGGAATACTAAAAATAAAGAAAGGAACATGGATAGATTTCAGTATGAATGCCATTCCCAACAATCTTCCTTTCTTCTCTCCAAGGGCCATGCTATACATGTTAAATGCACTAGACTGAGAAAAACTGTGACATACAAGAAAGCAGGAACATTTAAGTTTTTCAGCTCAGTTTTTCAGTTTTTTTATGTGGGAACTTGGAAATCTTTAAAACAGAAAATTCATTCCCACCTTCTCACTCCCCCTACATTTCACAGGTATGTGAAGTCTCTCAAGTGTTTAGCATCCAAACATGCCACTTCCATTTCTGTTAACCAGTGAAGTTAGGAAAAAGGCAGGAGATGTGTTTTGCACAATAAAGAAGTAACCACATTTTCACCTTAGATAGATTTTCTTAGATTTTCACCATAGAGACATGACTAGTGGCATTAGTCTGCTGAAGATCAGTATCTATTATATATACTATTTTTTAACAGATTTTTAAAAAGCACAGGTGTTGTAATTTTTTTTTTTTTTTTAGTTTCCTAAATTAGCTTCTGTAGATATCCAAGACAGTACTTTGTAGGCTTGTTTAGTGTTAGGTTCTATATTTGTCATCCATGTTTTATGTATGCTTTTAAATCCATGTCAGAAAAGACAGTTGTCAGCTGTGAAACAGCTATTAAAATGTACCTGCAAGTCTATTGATGCTGATGTCAAGGAGCTGTTCATTTCACTAAAGCTATCTAAGGCTGCAGCCTGCACTCGCACATGATTCTCTAAGGATTCCTGATGAGCATTTGTCACCTGAGCAGGAAAAGAAAAAAAAAAGTTTTGTATAGAATAATGATAAAGTTTATCTATTCTTTCAAAGGGAGTTACAGAAGAAAAAGATCCCATGGTTAATTTTCACAGAACTAGGATGCTTAAAATACACAGGCTTCAAACCATATTCTTACACCTCAGAAACAAACAAAACTTAAATCCAAATATGCTGGCAGAAATAAGGCACAAGTATCTGTTTAGCTCATATGTAATCACTGTAAAAGCTGTTCTTTTTGAAAGGACAAGAGGACACTTGGCATATGTCTATTCAGAAAGTTTATATACACAGAGTGGGCAGATTGCAAAAAGTCACAGTGAAAAGCAGAAGAATGTAAGAAATCAGGAAATCTAGAAAGGTTTGCGTGAACTGTTAAATAGCCTTAATTAAGAAGGAACTGACTATTCAGGTACATAAAGAAGCTACATCAAGAAGACTTAAGGATGAAACAATATTGAAGCAGGTAGAAGTCAGCAGAGAGTTTTATTATGTGAAAATTTGTCATCC